ATAAAACCTTTAGCTTATTTTAAAAAAACTATATGATGATCATCTAAATAAAGAGTGATTTTATTTTAAAATAGATAGCACCGAAGAGAACGTGTTTGTTTACCTTCTTCTAATAAATAATTGGAATAGTAATGGCACACGATAACATTGAAAATTATCTAATAAATGTTAAAACGTCAAACCGCTTAAGAAAAAAAATGACATGTATGCATATCGAGTAAGTTTTTCTGTTGTAACTTATAATCATAATAGTTTATATAGATGTGAGAAAATTTGGACAAATGACAAGAATTTAAGTACTGACATGACTAAGACTCGAATTTAATACATTTGGGCAGCAGCTATGCACTTATTCAATGAAGCAGATTTTGACATGTATACAAAAATATTTGGAACATCTTTGATCACTTTTTTGACTTTCCTCGAAGCATAAAAATTTAGATTAGAAGATATAACAGTCCTGTCATGTGATTATTTTAGATAGAAAAATAGTAGATCATAGTGAGTTAAGGGATTTGCCCAAGCCCAAGAATATAACAAAGTTAACAACAACTAACACACTAAGTTAGGATTAGAAATTACAAATTTTCTTAATTGACGCTTATGAGAATACCTTAGAAACATTATTCCATTCCATTACAAAGAGTAACATATAGTAATTAAGTTAACAAAATATTATACAAACTCCACAAGCTCCTAATTCCGCTTTCACAAAAATCAAGCTACAACATCTTTATCGAGATAATAAATGATAAGTCATATTGCTACTTCTATCCAACTCGTATAATCGAAGAGTTGAATGAATTTCTAAACAAAGTAATTCCACATGACAAATAGAGGCTCTTCCAATACCAATGTCATACTATCGAAAAGATGGGGATATTTAAATTCCAAGCTATCTAATAATTGAGTGATAACTCTTGTAAACAACGAAATTTTAAGGTTAATAATCAAATAAATAAAAATCACAGAAAGAACCTGAACAAAGGAAATCTTCACATTTTCGAGAATTGCGGGAAAAATTTATCAAACTGGTATATACATAATAATACATTCTTGATACCACCACCACCACCACCACCACCACATACACTTGCATTAACACGGCGACAGTCACGCCAACACGCCCAAATACCATGAAGAATGCATCAATTACAGGAAGATCAACAATTCACAACGCCGACAATTACAACCAACACGAACACCAGCACCAATTACATCAACGTTTATAACAACAACAATTACAACGTCGAGAACAACAATATAACTTCACATTGAATTTTTTTTTTTTTTTACTAAAAAATAAGAATGATTGGGATGCTAAAACTCGCATAACTTATGAAAAGAATTTTCGGCATAAATGCACATAATTGTGCTCTATGGGTATCACAAACCATATGCGATCATTACTCCAGACAACCCCAAGGAAATAAAAAACAATGTAAGGTTGGGAGTCCTAAAGAAAAATTATTTGATGAATTTATGAACAATTGGAGAGGAATTGTGCCTTTTACAATTAAAGCACAGCAACAAAATTCCACTCCATAAAGTATGTAAAACAATGGTAATTTGTTTGTTAGAAATCCAAACCAAGATGCCAAAATCAAATGTATGTAAACCAGATTTTATCATCCATTTTTATCAATGCTTTATATTTTACAATAAAATAGATTTATGTTTTTTATTCATTGAATTGGGATCTAAAGAAGTGATTAAATCAATATAAATACAAGGTGTTTTTACCAAGCTATGTGTTAATAAATAAAAATAAAAATGCCTCAAAACAAACACAAAATAAAATTATACATACAAAACGTAATCAAACATTTAAATTATACACACAAAACATTGACCAAACAATTATTTTTTGAAATATAAAACTTACAATACCTCTTAAAAAACAAAATATTCATTTAAAAAAAGCAAGAGGCACACGGAATTTTGATTCTTTGAACTTTGATGTAAATAGCAATAATGAAATAATTTACGACTCTGAAAACAATAATTGATTCAGATGAAACTGAATCACCATCATCTGACACATCTGACAATAATGTTGTTTGACGGAATGTTCCCAAAGTTGTAAAAATATTACGCCAAATTCGCTGCCATTAATTAAGTCAAAGATGACGCTAATAAAATATAAAAGCTCACAAAAAAAACTTATAAATATATATATTCCAGGTCTCTTTTATATTTCTTGTGTATCCCAATTTCTCTTTTGTTTCATCAGGAGACAAGTAAGTTTTTCTTTTGCTGAATACAATTCAGTTCCCACACATTCATTTACTACTAAACTCGAGCATGTCTTATATTAATATTAATGACTTCCTTTATGTTTCAGGGTCAATTAATTTTAGTGTATAGTAATTATTATCAAATGAAAATTTTACGCGAAGGCTTTTTATAATATCAATATTGATTGGTCAAGTTACTTTGCAATAATAAACCATCTCCATCTTTATCCTTATTGTAGTGATCAACGAAGAACAAATTCTGGTCCTTGAGAGGATAATTAACATTCTGATAAAATAAAACTCTGCGATAGAAATCATCATTTTTTATTAAACGTTAATAAGCTTTTAAAATAAAAAACATTGTTTTTATTTTTTGTTTAAAGCATTTTGATAAAAGAAACAAGTGTAGTTCCTTGGCAAAAGGTAACAATTATGGAGTTATTTGCTTTGGTGAGTAAACAAGGTTATGATTAACGTTGGTTAACTGGTGGTGTTAATCGGAAATACTGGTAGTGTTATGTAATCATAAAACATAAGGCTGTTAAACAAGCTACTTGAGTTGTTTTACAAGTAAACCAAAGCAAATTTGCAATCAATCAATAAATGCGAACGACTGAAATAAATCGAAGTCCTTAAGCTTTGTAAAAGGCCATCTTTATTTATTTGCAATTATCTAGTACCATTAAGTGTGCTCACAGATTCGTCTAGGTGGAAGAAAGAGGGAACCAAAGTAAATTCGTAAACTAATTAATTGACGAGCACCAAATTATTGCGAGTTCCTGATAATCAGCCATACTTGTTAAATAATCAGTATCAACTGAAATGATACCTTGCAATATCACTATTTAACAAAAATCAAAAATTTATTATTTAGCTTTAAGAAATAAAATAAATTAAAAAGACAAATAATTATAACAAATAATTTAGGAGATTAAATTGCTCATTCATCAATTCTTTCTTTAATTATTAGAAATAAAAAATATATTGTTAATAATAATTAATGGATAGTAAGTTCAATTAATTAATTAAAAGTGAAATTTTTATTTACCTTCAACATTCTAGAGAAGAGAGTTAAAATCAAGTCTATTTAATGAACTATCATTACTTGTATAACTTTTTAAGCTTTTTGATTTAGCAATCTCTTCATCTAATATTCTACTTTTATGATATGCACCTGGATGTGATTCGTGTACTTGTTGCGAATCACTACCACCACCACTGCTGTTGCTACTATCATTATTAAAATCATGTTTTTTGATTTTAGAAAATTTGAATAATCTTTTTATTAAACTATTGTTATTTTCATAAATTTTGTCATATTTATTTTCAGCAAAGTCCCAAAGCTCTCTACTAGTTGGTCTTTTTGATGGATCCACATCCCAACACCTCTGCATCATTTGCACATAATCATCAG